AAAACAACAACAATAACGACAAAAAACATGCTAAAATCTGAAAAAAAAATGCTATAAGTTTTGCTGAATAAGATAATACTTAGTGTATGCTAAATTGAGATCAATTAACTAATCTAAAAAATTTTAGAGAGTCAATTGGTGGTGGAGGAAATGTGTTATGCCGCAGAGTAATCAAATTAATTGTCAGTTACTCAAATGTTGCCAGCAAAGTTTAAGATCATGTAGGATAATTACTGTGTGATTAAAACTATTGTCTGTCACAAAGGGATTGCTATAACATAAGCAAACATAACTTTATGATCGTGTATTTGGCAGTTTTTTTCTTGCGAAACAGTTACGAATCCTAATAATTCTAGTTTATTTAGTTAATCATGCAATAAACGAAAGTGTAGTTTAATTTTCACAGACTTTCCGATGAAAAAAAAAAAGTGATTGCTATAATATATTGACGCAAGTTTTTTTTTTTTGGAAAAAAAAAGATTGCTATCGACCTGAAAAGATCTCCATGCGTGAAATATGTTGTATAAAATATTAAAAAAGGCAGAGAAAGGATAGTAACGGTTGGAATCGTATAATCATTGTCTTTAATGATATTATTTTGTATCCTTCAGGATTAAATTAATCATTCTAGAATTAAAACTAAGAACAAAAATAATAAAAACCCAACAATAGAAATAATAAGAACTCAGCAAAAAACTTTGAAAAAGAGAGAGACAAAGGATTATTTTTTTGTATGTCTTTAATATTATCAATAAAGGCCGTTTTATCTTAGCTTAATCCGACTCATTTGTACGCGAATTCAATTCATCTTGTTTGTCTTTGATAAGTCCATAACACACTTTTCTTAATAAAGTATTATCTCATGTCTCTTATTTCTTCTTTAGCAATGTAAGATGAAAAGTTTTGACAATCTTTCGAAATAGTTATAATAAAATATTGATAGTTTGTTTCATGAAGTTAAATCTTATTACCTCTGAAAAGCAGTTTTCATTTTATACATAAATCTAATCTTTTTTTCTAAACCATCGCCAATAAACGGTCGTAATTTCTGGGTTTCTTATAGTAAAGCTTATTAGAAGCAGCCCTTTTGCTTAGTTTGTGGCAATCTTGTAGAACCAATGAGCACTGGCCAGCTACAATCCCACTGACATTGCCTAGACCACATTGTAATTTTAAGCATTAATAATGATGATTCCAAATTTCCAATACGCTATGTGGGTCATCAAATCTTCCAAGTGTCATCCAGTTGGAAAAAAAAGTAGCAAGAGAAAAAAACATAGTAAGTATTTTCCTCTAATACCTTGTTAATGAGAGGATTAAATGTCGGCAGTAAGAGTTGGCCAAGTAACGTAAGGCCCAAAAGCCATTCTTGCAGAGGAAAATATAGCTGCAAACGAGATCTGTGCAACGTTACAACACCCACCATACAACTAATTAAGATTCTTAAGTGTATTTATCTGTACTGAAGTAACATTTGGCAGCTATTCAATTAAAGAATTGTCAAATCCTTCTAAGTTTTAAATCACCAAGCTGATTGCAAAAGCAATCGCAATAATGATCACAAGTTAAAGTTTATCACAATAACAAAATAACGGAACAATAATTGATATCGTAAATATATTAACTCGTTGTTAATAAATTAATTTTAATTCACTTATTTTTAATAGTTTACCAATTAAACATAATAATAGCATCACTATAGTTTAATATCATACATCAATAATTAAATTTATTACAAAAAAATAATTTAATAACACTTCTAATAAATTAACATCACACAAAAAATTATAAAAGATATCATAACTTCAAGATACACATCACACAATATTCATATTTAAAAAAAATATTGTATGAAAAACTGTATAATACATCCAAAAGCTGAAAAAAATAGTGACATTTTATATAGATAGATGGTGTTTTTCTTTTCAAAAAAATTCAAAAAAAAAATTTTTTTCAACTTTTTTTTAAAATATAACGATTTTTATTTAATAACGACAATAATGACCTTATATATTGGTAGTCGTTGTTATTGTTGTTATTTATGTGAAATATAATTAGATTCTTTAAAACGATATACAATGAAAATAGATATACTCAAATTCATTAAATAACCACCGTTAAGTTATATAACATATATTATTTATAATTATGCTTTTATCAACTAATAATAATTAAAGGAATTTTTTATGAATATAATAAAATAATTTGATTAATATAAAAATTACTTCAATGAGAGTTCAAATCAATACTATTATGTGATTTTTTATGAGGAAACATTTATGGAAATATTACATATGAAGTAAGTAAATGTTTGAAGCAAATAGTGGACGAACAATTTAAAATTTTTAGGGCTATCCAATTGGGGAAAGGGGTACGGTGGGCTTTTGAGCTCCAAATACATCCATCTTCATTTGATTAATTCCGTTTTTTTGTTTTTGTGGGGTTTATGTGGATTCCATGTAAAAAAGTCGAAAGCAATCTACCAAACACTTCTCCTTTTCGCTTGAAAATATTGAGATATTCAATTGAAAACAACTAACTAATACCTAAAACTTCTACTGTTTACATGAAAATATTGCGATATTCAATCGAAAACAGCGATTTGCATGAAAATATTGTGATATTCAGTTGACATATGACAAATGCCAATGCATGTCATAATTTTATTTGCATGAAACGTTGTGATATTCAATTGAAAACACAAAACCATGATAAATGCTAATTTGTGTTACGAATAGCAAATTAGAAGTGAGTTTTGTTTCGATTGGGATCCACTGGATTCCAAATATAGTAGATTCAATCGTCTAGAAAAGAAAGAAAATTGACATGCAGCAAAGAATTCCAAGATATTGGAAGAAACTAATTAGTTCAAAACTAAGATTACTTTGTTCAGAGTTTTTACCATGTTTGCGTATAGATTGGAAAAAAAACGATCAACTCAAAATTTTTGTGTTATAGTTGTATTATATAATATTTGCATGATATATTTAATTCACTTTATATTGGTAGAAATTTATGCCAAATAAACGGAGGATTTATATATCATTGAACTAAAGTTCATTGTTTGGAAAAATATTAGATTAAACATTATATTAAAACTGATAGAATAGTGGACTACGTACGTAGTGTGTATATAATTTGTTGTTTTTGTAATGACAAATTTTATTTTTCTGATATGTTTTATTTTAGGAAATTATTATCATATGAATATAAAAATGATTTAACTTTTAATCAAATTTATGAAATATTGGAGGAAGTATGACTTCATCTAAAATATATTATTGTTTTTTTAAATATTATTTAGATTTTTTATAGCAAATTTGTTATTTTTATAAAATTATTAATAAAAATTCATTTTTTCTTTCAATATATATATATATATATAGAGAGAGAGAGAGCATATTTGCATGCTCTTATGCCGTAGAAGGAGAGCAAGACCAGGTGACTGAAGCGGGCCCCGATTTCTGAGAAAACACCACCCAACTCCTATCAATACTTCTGCACATACTGGCAAGTAGATCCAAACTATCATTTAAGATCCCAAGGCCACTCTATATCGCTTAAAGGATGTTGAAACTTCATTCTCTGTAGATTTCTTAATAGTTGATTGCCGCGTTACGCTGCGATTACGTAAAACAAATAAAATTAATTTAAAAAATTATTTTTAATTTGATAGAATGTATTATGTGATGAATTTACTAAAATATATTGAATTGAAGAGGAAAAAAATCGTCTATTTTATAATTTTTTAATAAAAATCGTGTACTTTATTTATTCTTATTTCTGTTTTTTTATATTTTTTTGTTTTAAAAAACAAGATTTATTTTTTGTTATGCATTAATTCTTAAATAAAAACATATAATAATGTAAATTAAAAATTTAATATGAAATTTTAAAAAATATTTTAATATTTTTTCATAAGATTGTATCGAATAAAAAAAGCAACAATCAATATAAAAACTTGTATAAAACTTAACAAATAAATATTTTTAACTTTTTTTTTTTTAAAAAAAAATATATATATAATGAATAATATTAGAATAAAAAGATGCATACGCATTATTAATTAGACGGTTCTTCTAAAACATTTTTTAAATTATTTTATTTAAAAGATATTATTTTTAGAATATAAAAAAACGAAAATCATTGATGTTATGTGTGTAGATGCATATATAATTTTCAATAAAACTAATTATTCTATTTTTTTATACATCATAACAATACTCGGTGGGTTAGAGTGTGTAATATAAATTGAAAAGTATGTTTTAAAAAATAATTTGCAAGGAATATATATTGATGTTAATGGAGTTCAATAAAAATAATTACAAAATTAATTTCAATAAAATTTGATTGTATAAAAAATAAGAAAATAAATTACGTGAAATCTATTATTTAATTTATTTTTTATTTTTTTATAAAAAAATAATTTAAAAATATATACATAGAGAAAAATAAATCATATTTATCAAAAAAAAAAAAATTTGATAAGAATTTTTATAAGAATCAATAAATTGAAGATATCAATTTTAAATAATAAAAATAATGCAATCTTGTGTGTGTATTGGGGGGATCATATATATTTCATAATGTTAGTATACGTAAAATTTCGAAAAAAATAACGAATTTTTTTTCCCATATTATTGGATGATTACTGCATGATTATCTATATCATTCACGATAAAGTGATGTGATTTCTATACTACAACAGACATAACTTAACGGTTACAAATTCGATAGTTTTTTAACGAAATAAGTTTGAATCTTAATAATTTTAATTTATTAGGTTAATTATGTAACAAAAAAGAGTTATAAAATTCACGGAACTTCCAATCAACCAAAAGAAGAAGAAGAAGGGATTGCTATAATATTTTATTGTAATTCCTTTTTGAAAAAGAAGATTGCTATCAACGTGAAAAGATTTCCAGTAGCAAAATATTGGCAGCGTTTTCATTTTATACATAAATCTAATCGTACATTGCAGCACTAGTTAATTCAATTTTTCAGTGTGGACAAAGGTTATTAGAAGCAGCCCGTCTGCTTAGCTTGTAGTACACCATCCTGGCAATCCTGTAGAACCAATAAGCACTGACCAGCTGCAATCCCACTGCCATTGCCTAGACCACATTGAGATTTTAAGCATCAATAATGACGATTACAATACACCATGTTGGTAATTAAAGCTTACAAGTTTCATTCAGTAGCAACAGAAAAAACATAGTAAGTATTGTCCTTTGATACCTTGATAATGAGAGGATTGTTGGCAGTAAGAGTTAGCCAAGTAAGGTAGGGCCCAAAAACCATTCTTGCGAAGGAGAATATAACTGCAAATGAGATCTGCACCCATCACCCAACTAATTAGGATTCCTAATTGTATTATATGTACCGAGGTAACATTTGACAGCTACTCAAATATTAAACAATTACCAAAATCTTTTTTAAGTTTTAATAATAGTTTTAAATCACAAATATAGTTGTAAAGACAATTATGATTGTAATTGCAGGTTGTAACTTAGCGTAATAATAAAATTATAGTCACAATAACTTATGTCGTGGATGCATTAATAATTATTAATAAATTTATTTTAATTCATATATTTTTAATAATTTTAATATTAAGCACAGTAATAGCATTCTAATAATTTAACATCATACATCAATAGTTGAATATATTATAAAAAATATAAATAAACTTTTAATAATTTAATATCACAAAAAAAATTATAAAATAAATTTTAATTTCAAGATATACGGTATAAAATATTCATAACTAAAAAAAACGTAGTAAAAGGTCATAGTAATAGTTTATTATCATTTTTTTCAAGTATTGTAATTATGAAAACTCATATAATACATTCAAAAGCTGAAAAAGCAATGACATTTCAAGTGAATAAGTAGCGTTCTTCAAATATTTAATTTTTTATATAAATATAATTGTTTTTATTCATCAAATAACGACAGTATATATCGATAATGGTTATTATTTTCGTTATTGGCATGAAATGCCTCTGGACTATCTATGAGGACATATGGAGGAAACAAAGTTACTCAAATATGTTAAATAATGATCGTTAATTATATTGAGGATAATAATTTAGAACTATGATTTTTAACAACTAATATGAGACAATTAAGAACTAATACGAGACGATTAAGAGTACAAAAGTCACCAATTACAACCGAATTTTTAAAGGGGAAAGGAGGATTATAGAGTAACTTACGTCAGCTGCCAAATTAAGGTCAGTGTCTCTGTAACCAAGCTCCTTGAGAAGTTCTCTCAAGTGAAGGAAAGGGCTAGAGATCTCTGTTATGAATAGGGCTGCAATCATTTCTGATCCACACTATATACAATAACCCAAAAACGAGTAAAAAACTACAGATTAAAAGTTTCAACAAAAATAAAATCTTTATAACTAGAGAAGTACTCTTGATGAAAATCTTCATCGTCTTAATTAAGAACATAAAAACAAAGACATAAGTTCTAATAAGTTTTCTAGCAATAACAAGAAAGTACTATAATTAATCGAAAACGTCCAGGAAGAAGATAGGTACCTTCCCATAGGCAAGCGCTGCTCCTATCCCAACAATGCTAACCAAATGGTGTATTGTGTTATCAAGAGTGACGCGCTTGTCGAATTGACAACAGATCAGATCGTAAATGAGATAAGAAAGGGAAACTGCCAAGGCTTGCATCTGCCCAGTGTTTCAAGTTTCACACCATCAACAAGAATATCAAAAATATTCTTGAATTTTGAATGAGCTTGAAGTAGAAAAGACCTCAGAAGCATAAATTTTGAAAGCAAAAGAACTGCGTTAATTACCTGACTGGGTGAAGGTTTTGAAGCCAGAGGACAAACTGGGCATGTCCAGTTTTCAACAGAGTGAGAAGCTAGCGTAACAGCTAAAGTTGCATGGACCGTAGAAACAAGGCGATTGCAAAATTCAAAAGGTCGCTTTGGCAAGAGCTTTCTAAAGAGTTGAAACGCTGTTGTCCATGAAATGGTTCCCAGTATGATTATTCTTAAAATATGCTCTTCCATTCGCTGTTTCTTTTCCTTCCTTCAGTCAAAACCGGCCAAGAAATCGCTCCAAAACACGACAGGCAAGGTCACGACCTGCCTTTTATAAATAAAAGCTGGTCAGAGATAAGAGAAACAAGACAAGCCTACAAATTTCGGCCAAGGACAGATGACGAAGATAGTAGACTTGACTGATCTATATAAAAATGCTCTTAGTATTGGCATTAGTTATATTAGAGGTTCAGTTTATAAATAATTTTAACTTAATTTATTATGAAATTAAATAATAAAAAAACTAAATTGAAAAGAAAAGGAAATTGAAGCACAAACCGTAAGTATCTGGCGGTGAAGCGTTAAAACAAACAAACAAAGGGTTTTTTGTTCATTGCTGATAGCCGAATGGTATATATATAAGAATCGAGAGAGCAGGAAAGGGAAAGGCATGCATTGTTTTTATCATCGGCATGGCATAAAAAGAAAGTGAGAATTTTGTAGCAAAAAATATTAAGGTTTTTTTTTAATATTGATTTTTTGGACTTTGCAGAAAAATTTAGTCTTTAACTTGGTAATCTTAACGTGGCAATCTTATATGGTATTGAATTTTATAAAAATATAAAAATTTTGTAGATTTTAAGTTTTAACAGTCAAATAAATTTAGTTTGAAGGATAATTTGTATTATTCACTTCTCAAATTCATGAAAAAAATTTGAGAGATCAATTGTATTACTTTCTTAATTATAATAAATTATTTCAAAATTGATTTCGTGATTTTTTTTTCAATAATAAAAAATATTTTTTTATGTAAATTAGGTGTTCTTGTAATTAATTTATTTTATATTTTTTTATTATTACTAATGTGTTTGATTGGATAATTATTTCTCACAAAATCTAATTTACAAAGAGAGTAGGATAGAGTGAAATTCAATTTTCAATCACTCACTAGTTTGTTGTCATTATATAATATTAATATTAAGTTTTTCTTTAAACAAAAAGATAATTTCAAATCCAAGATTTCTTCGGAAAAAAGAAAATGTCATCTAAACTATAACTCGTTTATGTATTATTATTAAGTTGAATAATTATTTTACTGATGATGTATAGCTAAGCTGATGAAGCGCAGTCAACACCAATACCTTGTTGGGCATTAATGCCATTGCCTGGTAAACTAAATAATAACTTGCCAGCGTCTGTGGATCTACGACTGAATTCATTTTGAACTTTATCAAAATCATTTTGGTTTGGTTTTTGGGAAAAAAGCTAAAAAAATTAACCAAACACAACAAGTTTCCTAAAAGGAGTCACATTCACCATCTAAATGTAAGTTTGAGGAAGTTACTTGTCATTTGGAGATAAATAAAAGTAGAGAAAAGTAATCATCATATGGGTGCCATCTCCGGCTTGGCAGGAAAAGTTGGCGGCCTAATTAATTAATCAGTGGGAAGGGGGCTAGGTAGGTGGGCAGTCAGTGTAAATAGCGCTATTTAGCTGTCATGTCTTTGCTTTATAACTTCAGTTTAAATGTGGTAGGTCTATGATGTGGCAGTATGGCTTCCAGCAACTCTATCATAACTTGTGATTTTTTTTTTATATATAAAATATATGAAGTATATAATGTATTAATGGATGGGGTTTTTTTTTAAAAAGAATTTCGAAGGCTAACTTTATGTTATATTTTTTCAAAGACAACACTATTTTATTCCAAAAACTACACGCAGTGAATAAGTGGATTAGTTCCGGTTTAAATTTTCCAAAATTTTATTTCATAAAAAATCTTTCAGTAAAAGAGTAAATTATAAATTATTCTCTCTCGTTTCCATAAATAAATTAATTAGTGGTTTCGGTTTCGAAGACTAATATTTAGTCATTTTTGCTATTTTTATTTTTTTTTGATTTTTTGATTTAATAAATAAAAATAAGTAAAAGTACGAAAATTTTGATAAGAAAAAAAAGACATTTTATAAAATAAAAATATTAAATTAGTCATAGTTAATACTTAATAAAAAAAACTAAATAATTAGTTTTCAAAACTAGAAGGATTGATTAATTTTTTTATCAAAATTAGAGGGCTTACTTTATAATTTACTCTTATGTAAAACTAGCATGTTACTTTCTTGTTTTTTTTTTGAGAATTAGTGCTATTAGTTATTTAATAAAATGGAGAGGATTTTAATTAAAAAAACAAAGAAAACTATTAAATTTCTTGATATTTAGGGATCTCTCAATTGTCACAATCCGAGTGGTGCAATATTTTGAAAAGTAACTAATTAGATATCCGCGTCATGCTTGTGGTAAAACAACCATTACATATAGAGGGTTAACGACTCGTATAATATGATGCGAGTAGATGTTTTGTTTATGAAAACTAATATAAATCAAATCTATATATTCACCGAATTGATTTGATTTACATATATTTATGAACAAAATAATTTATAATATCGGTATAAAAATTTGTATTTGAATAATTAAAAGGTTCTTTCAAAACATTAATTAAATTATTTCATTTAAAAATATAGATTTTAGAACATGAAAAAAATAAATAACAAATAATTGATGTTATGTGTACAAAGATAATTATTTTTTAACAAAACTATATATATATAGTACTTAACAAATTTAGAGTATATAAAAAATATATAAAACATATATAAAAAACCACCAAAATCACATGGAATATATCGAAGTAAATAGATTTAAATAAAAACTATTATATAAAATTGATTTCGATAAATTATGATTACATATATATATATATATATATATATATATATAACCAAATAAAACTTGTGAATTTTTTTAAGCGATTATTATTTTTTTAAAAAAAGTATGTCAAATTATCTAAAATACACTTTTAGCTCCCCCAATCAGAATTTATACATAACAAAACTATATATATATATTATACTTAGAAGGCTCAAAGTTTATAAAATAAATAAAAATATATATATAAAAAAACTCACTTAAATTGCATAAAATATATCGAAGTGAATAGATTTAAATAAAAATCACTATAACATCCGTTTCGATAAATTTTGATTATATATTTAACCTATTAATTTTTTTAACTAATTGTTAATTTTTTTAAAAAAACCAAGCCAAATTATTTTTTAACCGATTATTATTTTTTAAAAAAATCAAGTCAAATTATCTAAAACACACTTTTAACTCTCTCTCTCTCTCCCTCCCTCTCTCTCTCTCTCTCTCACATCATAATTTATACATGCAACAAGATCATTTTCATTATAAAATCATAAAAATAATCAATCGTGTAAATTATAATAATATATTTAAAAAATAAAAAAATCATATTCTAAAATTTTATTTCAAATGCCATATGCATAAAGAAATCAAATTTATTAACAAATAATATTATATAAATTTAAAAATTAATTCGATGAGAATTTTAATAAGAAACAAACAATTGAAGAAATGAATTTTAAATAATAAAAATAATATAATCGGATATATGTATTCAAATTAAAATTTTAAAAACTATCATATATATTTTATTACTGTAACTGTACATAAAATAAAAAAATAATAATTTTTTAATATATTTTTACACCTAATTTCATGATAAAAAATATAAAAATAAATTATTTATATAGAATGGGAACAATTACCATCTAAGAACATATAAAAACTGAAAACCAAAAAAAAAAAAAAAACGAAGAAAAAGAGGAATGCTACAGTCAAGTAGCAATCCAGCGCTTAAAAAAAAAAAGCTATAATAAATGAACAGTGATGCTTTTGGTTCTTTTAGTTTTTTTTTTTATATATATAATTACATAATTCAAATATTTTTTTTTTTAACAACAAAATAAGAGCAACTCTATATGGGCTTTACTCTATTAAACTATACTGGCAAACAGGCCCATCTCAATTCCAGCCCATTTAATATACTAACGGGATTGGGATAAGGCCTAAGAACAGCCCATTACCGCCTACTGCTTAAACTTTGCTTCGTCTCATCCTATGTTATTAACGCCAACTCGTAAGCTTAGCTTCCTCGCGACAAAGACCGACCCGAAACTTTATTTTACACCCGATATTTCGCCATTTCGCTATGGATGTATACCAATTTAAAACACCGGGTCGATTTCCTCTTCGAGTCGGTCATTTACCTCCAATTTCAAACAAAACGTCGTCGTTTTTGCCTCGTCTAGCCTCATTTACAACCGGTTCCCATTCCCTAGCCGATAAACCGGAATCGGAATCTCTGAATCGGATGTTCATTCTCGGCATGGGATTCGTCGGCCAATTCTTTGCCCAATCTCTCAAAAAAGAAGGCTGGTAACTCCTAATTCTCCAAATTTTGAAGCATGATTGATTGTTCTGAAAATACCTAACAAAACCTTGTCGGATTGGATATTGGCAATCAGGATTGTTACTGGTACTTGCACGAGCAAAGCAAAGAAGAAACAGCTTGAGGAGAAGGGATTTGATGTTTGCCTTTTTGATGCAAATCAGCCAGAGTGAGTTTTTGCTCGTTAATTAATCAACAATTTGAAGGAATTAGAACAACGAAATTATACTGTTTTTTTTTCACCGTCGGAATTATTGATTGCTTAAATGAAGATTTTCTTGTCAAGTTATTTCGTAGAAGCTTTACCTTATCTTTTATTAATGTTGAAGATTTCTTGCTTTTGCTCTGTTTTTTTAAGTTGATTTTGACTGCTATTATTTTTTGCTTCTTTCCAGATTGAGCACTCTAAATGCTTTGAAACTTTACACGCACCTCCTAGTCTCCATCCCTCCTGTTTCGTGTGCTGGCGATCTGGTATGCTGAGTGTTCTTGTTGAATTCTATGCTGAAAATTATTTGAATGCTCCCTAAACGTGAAATGTTTGCTTCTTCGCTATTGATTCCTCATCGTTGTTCAGGTGCTTTGGCACGAAGAACTCCTAAGAAATATGCTATTGGATGGAAATCTTCAATGGCTGTGTTACTTGTCATCTACTAGTATGTATTTTTGTATCATAAATGCAAGTACATATGGATGTGAAATGCTTGCATGTGTTTTTATACTTGCATATATGTGTGCATATATATTCGAGCATTGAATATTTTAAGAACTTTACCATTTATTTTTTAAATAGATGTAGTGCATCAGATTAGTACACGAACATAAGTTTATCCTGGTTCACTAGCCCCATCGTTTGCTTCCAACCATGGATTTTCTCAATGCAATGGTGGATACGAGATCATTCTATGTTTTTGGAGGTTCTACCGAATCAGAAACTGTTAATAAGCCAATTTTACCTGTTCAATCTTCTATAGCTCGGGAAAATTCAGACAAACTTATTGATTCTCAGTATCAAATCCACCATGGATATCAAGTTGATATAAATAACAATCTCTCATTACATTAAATGCGAAGTCAGTTGCATTTCAGCAAATAGCTGTTTTATCATCTTACCTAGGAAATAGAGATTCAGGTCAAGTTCCAACAAACAAAACAGAAATTAGTGAAGAGAGCAATCCAACAAGAATAACTGTTTGTATGTTGTGAAAGAACAGTGATCTTCTTATCATGTTTTTTTTGTCTGCCACAGTAAAGAGAAAGGACATTCCAGTTTTGGAATCACTGCAGAAAAGCTGCATTATATAAGCTTGAATATCTTCATGCACCTTTAGTGAGAAGACAAAGACTTGGAGTTTTAATTCCCATTATCTGAACTTTTTGGCATGTTCCAATCTCTTCCATCCCTGCAGAATAATTGGGTTTGACTTAGCAATACTGCCTTTTGCTCACAGGTGTATATGGTCATTGTGGTGGTGCTTGGGTGGATGAGGAGTAAGCAGAGGACCATTATGCGTGAAAACTGTTGTGTAAGAAATATAGCTTGCATGACACTAATTACTTGCATTATCATGTGGCAGTTATACGACAAGCCCTACAAGTGAGCTAGCTAAACTGAGATTAGTTGCTGAGGAAAAGTGGCTGAATCTGGGCCAAGGGCTGGGACTTTCCACTCGAGTATTTCGTCTTGGAGGTATCTATGGTCCTGGTAGAAGGTTGTAATCTCTATATGACATTTATGTTTGTGTTGACCCACAGCTGCCCTTAAACATCATCCCTATCGCTTCTCTATTCCAAATTCTCACTTTTCTCCTATAGAATAAGATGCCTATACTAATTAACCCCAATCCCGAGTATTAGCAATATCCTTTTCTTATTTCTGTTAAAGCCACTTTGTTTTTCTGGGCGAAATCATGCACTTCTTTTTAGTTGGTCGTTAACTATTCATATTTGCCTGTTACATATAGTGTGATGGGCTAAGTTGGCTTCCAATTTTGGCAGCGCCGTTGACACAATAATTAAGCAGGAGCCATTGTCAGAAGGTCAGAAGATGAGAACATCAAGGCAATACACTTCCAGAGTTCACGTTGAGGACATTTGTCAAGCACTCAAAGCTAGTATTTACACCCCATCCTCCAGGTGGGCATTTAAAAAAAAAAATTCTTTTATTCAATTTCTTGTACCTCATTCATTCAAGTTTTGAGAGAAAAGGAAGTCTGCCGCATTTTGGAAGTAAATTCCCAACTTAAAGCTAACTTTCAGAAAAACGTGATAGATAATTTTTAAGTATGCCATGCAGATACTGGCCTCTATGTCATTTACCATTGTTTATTAATCTCTGGTTATCCACAGTGAATATAGTTTTTTTTTTTTTTTTTTGGTTATCTTGCTCTCAAGTGCATCTGGATTCCACTGAATCTCCTTTGTTCAGGGGAATTTACAATATTGTGGATGATGACCCAGCCCCGCGTGAAGAGGTGTTTACATATGCAGAGGACTTGATTGAGAACAAGTGGCCAGGCCGAACAAAAAGGAGCACTGATTATGCAAGTGCTGTATCTCCTACCAAGAAAGCTAATTCAAGAGGAGATAAAAGGGTTTCCAATATGCGTATGAAGAGAGAACTAGGAGTGAAGCTTCTTCATCCAAGTTACAAATCAGGATTGCTAAGTATTATTGATCAAATGGAAAAACCCATTTCACTGTAGTTCAAGAAGTTTGTAAGCCACAGGTGGTCGATATCCGAAACGGAAAGAAGCACAGGTTTAACGCGTGTGAGAAAGTTTCTTTGTTTCTGTCACACCTACATCAACTCATGTTGTGTCAATACTCAATAATGAGTGGATAACATTCATGGAGCGAACTTCTACCAATTAGTGGCTTATCATGTAGGTTGTCTCGAAGCTTTTGACAAGCCAATTCCTTCTCATTAGCTGGAGAAAAAAGATAGTGAACGTTAATGTTTATGGTGCATAATAATTTGGGGTCACCTGTCCCCTAATATCTTGAGGAAAAAGAATAAATCCATCTCTCTCCAAATGTTCTTATTTGTATGTGGAACAGCGGAAGGAAGAATTATAACAGTATCAACAATGGGAATCAGGCTGTTTAGTTACAGACTCAGTGCCACGGTAACATCACTATATTACAAAGCGTTTTCTTTAAAGCAAAATCACTGGGGCGTTGTAGAAGTTAACTTACGAACTTCTTGAAACATATATCTCCAATAAAGCAAAAGGAGACAAAAGTCAGGATGGCCGAGTGGTCTAAGGCGCCAGACTCAAGTTCTGGTCTTCGTAAGAGGGCGTGGGTTCAAATCCCACTTCTGACATTTTTCCTCTGTTTACTTTTCACTTTTATAAAATATGTATTCGTTAAGAAAATAGAAAAATTCCGTTGCCGGGAATCGAACCCGGGTCTCCTGGGTGAAAGCCAGATATCCTAACCGCTGGACGACAACGGATGGTTAGATGAACGATTTCAGCATATTTAGAATTTTTAATCCATATTCCTCGATATCCGCAAATTCCATTTTCTGTAAAACAATGGTGGAGTTGTGGAGAGTAGTGCAGCACATAATCTGTCATTGTAATATAAATCAAATGCAGTCAGCAGCACCAGATTCTACCAATCCTCCAGCATCTTTCGACAACATAACAGCATTCCCCTCCAAAGCTTAAACCCCTAAGAAGCAGAATTATCGAACTTACAAGTGGGAGCTACTCTTTAGACTGAAATAGACACGGTCAAGCGCAATGATCCCTTTAGCAACTTCTTTGTTGGAATCTAGTAGCTTGCCAATCAACAGGTCAGAAAGAGTTAATAACAATTTCCTTCAACATGCAAAAGTCCATTGGTTTCTCCAATCTTACTCCAAGAGGGATATTTCAGCTTTTTCTCATTATCGAGAACATTCTTGCTGTTTCCTCATCTCCGATTCAAGTTCCTCAACAAGTTTATCCAACTTACCCTGTTTCCTAGATGCTAAATATCAGTAAAAGATTAAACCCATAATTGACATGTGGTTAGATCGTGATTCCTAGAAAGTAGAGACTCCATGCTTTGCTAGAAAAGTCATTACACAGTTGGCTAATTAAGCTTCAAGGAGAACAAGAACTATCTTGATGAAAAAGACTGGAAAGCAACCTTCTTCATTTTCTTACAAAATATTAATACAGAAGTAAATCGTATTTCTTTTTCCAACTCTAATTGGAAGTGGCTTTGCCATCAGTTGAAGGTCGAAGTAGAAATCAAATCAAGCTAATACGAAGGCAAAATTTTCACAGGATGGTATTTTCTTCTTTCTTTTATCTTACCGAAAAAAGTAGCAAAAGTTCCGTTGCTGGGAATCGAACCCGGGTCTCCTGGGTGAAAGCCAGATATCCTAACCGCTGGACGACAACGGATACTTGTAGGGCATTTCATCCAGCATTTAGTTGATCTAAACTTGACTCCCTCGTGGACTTCCAATACAGTTTAATTGACCTCTGCGAATCAAGAGCGACGCTAACATTAGGAGTAACGGCCGATGCATTTATTTATGCAAGCATACGAAAACCTATTATAGACTTCGCATGCCCAGACATCCATCCTTATCTTTGCCAAATAATATCTACCCTGATGATCAGACGAATGAGAAAACTAATTGATACTCCAGTTAAGAGTAATTATATTATTCAGAAAACTAAATTCAGAAGACAGAAATACTCCTTTTAAATTCCTTTTCCATAATCTATCTTTTCAAAATTGAAACTGCTTTGTTACCAAAATCAATCATCTAATCAGGGAGGAGCATTGTTTTGATGATCTCTTAGCCACTTAAGTGCGGCAACTTCACATGATACAACTAACAATTAAAGCATTATTATAACTAAGGCATGGATAGATACAATAGCGGGTCAAACAGCCATGGTGCATGAGAAAATTATCTTAGCATTGATTAATAATGGAATATAAAAGTGCAGAACATTGTCAAAATCCAGTCCAGCCCATGGATAGCAAAATCAAGGGCTTCGGAGATCAGATGGATGATCCTAGACTACACCTGTAAATGGATTGTCTGAATCCTACTTTCCTGTTTCTTTTTCAGAAAACTAAAACCTAAGAGAGGCTGAGTGAGGGACAATGATGGTCCCTGGGCAGGCAAAAGATTTGACAGAACGAGCGTGGTCAAAGCCTGAGTTGAATCACAGCCTTCTCCTTCAATCCCACAGGATAATCACATCTCCAGCATTTCCGGTAAACTGGGAAAAAGGAAAGAAATATAAGTTGAAAAAACCAAGATATAGGCAGAAATAGAAAAACGTACTTGTTAGCAAACATATAGAAGATATTTTTTGACATAATAGCATGGCAACTGAAAAAAGGAGATAAAAATTCTCACCTCGAACTAGTCATGTCAATATTTGCGATGTCTTGCCCAAAACCCTTTTTTCTCCGAAAGGGTTCTACTCCATTTGGACCCAAATGAAAAGTGCCGTCGCAAGAATGGCTTCATGGAGGAGCTTGCTACACTAGAACCGGGATCCATCTTCGCAACTTCTCTGTCTTTTATGGCATTCTTTTGTTGATAAAAATCATCAGAATCGCTATCAAGATAACTATCAATGACTCGGTTTCTTGATATCTTAAGACTTTTTGCTTTTAATTCTGCTTCCGCTCTCAAAGCTTTTTTGGACATCTTCAAGACTTGCTTCTCTCCTCCCTCGCATATTGGACATGCAGGATCATACTTGTCAACCTCCGGCGTTGTAGCCTCCAAGCACTCTGCATGGTATACATGACCACATACCAGCACAGAAACCACTGGAAGCTCATTGGTGCCCATAATTCTCTGGCTACTCCAAACAGATTTCTCAGTCAAGAACTTTGAGCAAGCTCCACAAGTTTGCAGATCTAAGGAGGGAGAATAAGAGAACCTACTGCTACATCCACTTATTTTTCCAAAGCCAGTGCCGAAGTGCTCACTGTCAAAAGACCATCTCCCTCTTTGTGAAGAAGCCACAAGCTCAGAAAAGGTTCTCATCGACCACCCATCAGAAGATCCGCCATGGGATCCCATTGCTAAGTCATGGCTGCAAGTGGAGAGTACAAATGATGACCTTCCTTCAGACAAAGAACAGTTATTTGGTGATTTTAATCCCAGGATTCGACTATCAGAAATCTGTCTTAATAACCGGTGCCCAGGTGAGCGACGAGCCCGTCTCGATGGGGTTGAGTTAGGAGGAAGTGAATGACCACAGGTTGGTAAAGGATCAGCAGTAGGTGTTGAAAATGATGAGTGTACAGAATAAGAAATCTTTGGTAATGGCAAGTCTGCAATATCAGGCGATTCTGCCAAGCTCTTCACCTGAAATATATTTTTAACATCAAGCAATCAGCAGGAAAACACAAACAACGGCTTCCTCAAAATAATTTTGCATCTCAACTGGTTCAAACTCACCTCCATAGGGTAATTGTTCTCCATGGATAGATCTGCATCAAGAAAAGAAAGTGTAAAGAACACCACCCAAAAGGCAAGCAGCAAAAGAACACAGTCCAAAAAACTGTGGGAATTGCAGCAATGTGCATGAAAAGGTAATTAAGCAACACTCTCGCAGCATTGCTATAACTGAAGTCCTCTAAACTGCAAACAGCAAGTGGCATCTGCCAATCCAGGGATGAATTGAAAGTTTAGGTGCCTACTTGTAAGATATCAAGGTTCTAAAAAAAGAAAAAGAATGACAGTTTACATGGACTAGAAACTTGATTTCGAAAATCAACTAAAGAAAATGCTGAGTGCAAGTGCTACAGAGCAATTAGGAGTAGAGAAAGTTTCTGATGAGATAGAAAACCATAAATGCCAGAAGTACATCATGAAGATCAATATCTAAAACCTGAATATGATACAAATAGCTTGCTAGCATGTTCAAAATGACAACATGATTTGTGTACAAGACATGGGATGTATAAATTTTCCACTTTTTGACATACTTAATTATCTCTGGCTGACTACTGTTTTAATCTGTGAATAGGAGGAAGTGCTTAAGAATTCAAGATAATATTGCTTAGTGGATGGAATAAGAGGCCTATTTATGTTCAAATGAAAGTGCACATGCCACTTCCTGAAACAATTTTGCACATATTACAATGGAAATTCAGCTTTCCGAAAGAATTTACTTTTACAGTAAAGAAGACTTAACAAAACAAAGACAATTGAAAACCATTACCTGAAGGTTGAGTCGTCAGATTTACACCCATTCCTTCATGAACCGGCGATTTCAAAGATATGGGTGTTCCAAAACTCTCAAGTGGGCTTAAAACATCTGAAAGATTGCCTCTATCAGAACCTAAAGTCCCCTTCATCTCCACACTAACATCTCTGCTGACTCCATGGGACATTTGATATGAGGAATCCTCAATTTCACCAGCCACACGCCTTCGGTTGTCCCAACGAAAACTCAATGTTGGAGAACATCCAGCATTCCTATGCAATGCTCGACATCCAGCTCTGCTGGGGAAATCGTTTTCTCTAGCAGCTACACAACAAGCTGCTCCCATGTTCACTCAAGTATCGCAGGAACTATCAAACCCCACAGAAAAAGCAATCCTCAAGTAGAAGCTTAAAGTGGAAAAGGAACACTAGAAGTTCTGTTAAAAATATGCCTCCATATCATCAGAATCCACTAATCCCGAAGTAATTCAAAATCAGAAATAAATAATCAAATACCAACCTCAGACCATGTCTCTATGTGGAGAGTTAGACGCTTCCATACCATATACCTTCCTGAATAAAAACAGAAGGTATAGATATATTCATTCACGATTCCATAATTAAAAAATATATATATCGGAACAAAAATTTGATAAAATCGAACACTCAAATGTGCAACCTATAATCAACTTCACCGACAATAGTCATAGACTAAAAACATATTAAGGCGGGAATGACAGATGAAGATTCGTTTCTCGTCCATTTCATAAATTAAATGCCTCTAAATCCAACAGTAAGAGATCCGTTAAGAAAAGCTAATCAATTCAACACAATCCAATATTCAACAAACACATAAATCTCCACCTAAATCCGCAAGCTAAAACAATTTCATAATTACTTGGGAAAAAATCAGAAAAATAGAGCCACTTTAACTTCTTATTTCCTCGCAATAAATAAACATTTCTATTCCTTTCAAAATGATGAAAGAAAAATATACATGGTGCAGGCAAGCAGAGAACCAAAAAATGAGATTCGTGAATTAATGCTAGAAAAAATAAGCAATAAATATAACAAAAAATTTAAAATATAAATAATCAACTCAGAATCTGACACAAAAAAAAAAAAAAAAAAAAACTTACTAATCCACGAAAAAATTGAAAAACTAGGGTTTACGAACTGTTTTGTTTAAGGAAAAAATTCACTAAGCCACAAAACAAGGCTAAATGATTAAAGGAAGGAATTCTAACCGAAAGCTATCGATGCAGAAAAGCTTCGTCGTCTTCTCGTTCACTGTGTCGGTCAGATGAGAGGCAGAGTGACTAGCGAAAAAGAGGAGAAAAGGGAAATGAAAAAGAGAAAGGAAGAGGATTTATTAGGTACTGTGTGTTAACTATATATGTAATTAATTAACGGCGTGAGATAGTACTGTTCTACTCTGTTTGGTTTCGCGGCGGAGAAGGAAGAGGAGGCGATTAACGATGTTAAGAAATGAAACGATGTGTTGAGTGATTGTGACTGAATAATTGCAAAGTCTGTATGGGGAATTGTGCCACGTCTGAGGTGTTTGCTTTTTTTCTGTGTTTTTGTTCACTTTTTATGTGGTTTACCTATGAAGGGCGAAACAGTAAATATGAAAATAAAAAAAAGGGAGACCGTTGTGCCTTTGCTTTCTTCTCTACCACGCGGAGTGCGCACTACGTGTTCTAATCTCTTCGCCTTTTCTGTTTCCCTTACCTTTATGGAAAGAGAGGGTTAAACTTTTTGTCCAGCAGCAAAAGAATTTCTTGTAGATCAAGAATAATACAGAGCCATTATCATTTCTAATATTATAAGCATGAAAGTTGATTGTATTAAAAAAAGACTTCACGTCTGTGAAATTAATTATTTTTTTCACATGACGCTTTCTCCTTTTCATTTTAGGAACCTCTAAATGGATTTTTCGAACTTTTCTCTTTTTAGGTTGTATATTGCTAGAAATTTTTTTATACATCTTATGCTCAGAAAATCCCCACCCATACTGCCATACATGCTAATAAAACACGAGCCACACCACAAAATCTCGTTGATTAGAAAAAAACAATTTGAAATATCTTAAGTTTTGGTTTGATTATCAGAAATGAAAATTAAATAATTAAAATAATATTTATATTCTCATATTGTGTAAAGAATCAGAATGAAATTTAAATTTTTTAATATTTAGTTTTAATTTAAATAAAAATAATAATTAAAAAATATTTTCATTAACTATAATGGTAGTGAAAATAATAAAAATGATGACGGTAGTGATTATAATGATAGAAGCGAGTTAATACATGATAAATAAAAATAATATATTATTACTTTAAAAAAATCATTTCAATTTTTTGTTTTTATTCTCAATTTCTACATGGAAATGAAAGTATGTGTAATTTTTATTTTCGTTTTTTCTCTCCGTTCTTGTTTTCTTTCTGGTTCCTTTTAAACAAACAATTATAAAGTGATAATAAAATTTCAATTTTCATTCCCATCGATCTATTTCGACAATCAAACAACACTTAAAATAACAAAAATCAAAATCAACCTTAGTCTAAATTAATGACTTTCAGTTAATGACTTTCTTAAGTATTATACCAGGGTGAGAGAGACGTAACAAAAATCAAAGTATCAATTAATGACTTTCTTAACAGACGTAATAAAATACCAGGGTGAGAGAGAGAGAGAGTGCCTGTATCTTGGGAAATCCTTATGCAAAGAGGAAGGGTGGATGAGTTTTTTTTCTAAATAAAATACTTTTTAATTAATTCTTCAAAATAAAATATTTTAAATCTTATTAAAAAAAAAAGATAATTTTACTATGTAGATATCTATGTCATTTTTTAATTAAGTATTATAATATATATTTAATATAATAATTTAAAAAATTAGAAACATAAAAAAAAATAACTTACGTTGTCTTTATTTTTCTTTTGTTATCTTTATTTTAATTTCTTAAAATTCAAATATTCTTGCAATTCAAAATTATAATTATTAAAAAAAATTATTTAGCATATCTTTCAGTTAAGGTGTTTTTTAATTTTTTTTTTGGAATGTGCATAATGAGTGTGTTGATTCTAACAACCTGTAAAGTTGCAATTAAATTAAATGTCGTGTCATTGATTCATTCATTTCGATTCCGTTGGTTGAGATACACATGTACTTATGTTAAGAAATATGATGAAACAATTTAGGTGAGATCCCATCTCGTTCCAAAATCAAATCATTGATTAATCTACATAGCAATGAAGAGCACGTAATCTAACTTTTGAAATCATGCCCCAGCCACAGTTTCTATCTTTTTCATTTTTATGAGGCCATCATTTCTTTTTTAATTTGGAATTTCGAAGTTAGTTTCGGAACCAACAACATTGACAAGAACAATATAATAGCAACAATCAAGGAAATATCAGTGGCTACCATTTTCACAGAGCATACAATCAAATGGACCCATCTTATCTTATATATTCATGAGATATTCTTGATATACTTATTTATTAAAAAAAAATTGTTTTGATTTTTACGCGAGTCAAGGAACAATACACCATGATATCTCATGAGAGAAACAATTTATGGATTTCGTTTGCATGCAAGATGATCTTTTTTCTATTAAAATGGGCCGGGCTTTGTCTACATACACAATGATAGCCCACGTAAATTGAAGGAGTGCCCAAAGATCCCGAGCTGCTTGTTACAATTTATTGGGCCTTAAATATCTAAATGCACAGCTTAACGGCCCAATAATAGACGAAGGCCTTCGCCCAAACAATTAGAGAAATCCGGTAAATGGATTGAGTAAATATTTACCCTTGTTGGATTATCGTAGCCAGCAAATAAATAACTCTTCTGCTGCTTCACGAAGGATAAGGTAGGAAACGATGAAACCAACAAGGGATAGCACCAAACCCTACTGAAATAGCAGCACAATTTCAAGTGGCTCAAATTTCAATCCAAGGTAAAATTTTCTCCAGACCTCCTTATATTAGCTCAAATTGCATGTTTCGGATGATTTTGTTTCCTCTTTTCCGGTTACATTTCGTTTTAGCCACTACTGAAAACTAGAAAAAAATGTAAACAATGCTAGGATTTTGAGGAAACGAGAAATTAATCGAGCCTTTTATCTTGTTGAAAGGGGTATTAAAGAAATGGTCTTTTGTTTTTTAGATTACAAATTTGTAATTTTTCTGTTATTTTAGCTGGAAAAATATTATTGCTTTGTTAATGAAGTGGACATGTTTATGGATTGGCGTGAGGAGTTTTGATACGGCGTCTAATGGGTTTAGTCAGTCAACTGGAATGTGGTTTGTTGTTATAATTTGAAATGCTCTCTTTCTGTTTGATGGAATGGCAATGTGGGAAGATTGATCTTGTCGAGGTTTAGTAACTTCTTTTATGTGTTTTGTTCTTCGACTTTTTTGGAAATGGGCAGATTGATGGTTTTGAACACTGGGAGATATAAGTTTTGCTTTCAACTGCTTATCGCTCATATTTCTTATGATTGTAAGCCTTCTTGATTATTGTTTGAAAATAATTGATCATGCTTTCTCCAATACAATTGAATCTTGGAGGACCTGAAGGGTACAACATTATGTTTTGTAGCTGGAGGATTTATCTTTATTTTGTCACCTTGCTTTTATTTTTATGTTTGATGGCAGAGGGTACGGATGGCATTTTTTATTTTCTGTTTCTAATTTCGCTTGTCACTGTTGTCTTCAACCAGTTACCTGGCAATGATTCTAAATGGGTGCACCATGCCTTCTGGGTCTGCTTTTAGTAACACCAGAGCATGTAAAACTTTGCCTGAGATCATGGTTTCTGCACGTGTTCCTTGCTCACCTGCCAGGGCTGCATTGTTGAACAGTAGGGCTTCATTGGGATGGCATTTGGAGTCTAAGTCCTGGTCATCCAGAGGTATTTTTACGTATTCTTTGTCAAAATTTTTGTTGATGTGTTTTTTTGGAGGAAAGGGAAAGGGGGGCTAAGAGTTGGATTTTGTCAAGGCAACAATATTTGGTAATTTTTTTTTTTTTTTACCCTATCCAAAACATTTGTTGCATCTGTATTGATTTTGAAGTTCTTTGATGGTAGGGTTGCCCTCGTTGCACCTTTCAGCTGCATCAACGCCTCTCTTAAGTGGAGATTATGGTGGATTTTTACACACTATTCCCATATTTCCTCGGCAGCGCAGATCCTATTCATGCCCTCGAGCATCAAAAGATGTCCCATACAGTTATCGCTTTCCTCCAATGACCAAGAAGCCAAGATGGTGGTGGAGGACTTTGGCATGCCTGCCCTATTTGATGCCTCTTCATGAAACATGGATGTATGCTGAGACTGCATATCATCTACATCCTTTCCTCGAAGACTTTGAATTTTTGACCTACCCATTCCTTGGAGCCATTGGGAGGTTACCAAGCTGGTTCTTGATGGCATATTTCTTTGTTGCATATCTTGGAGTAGTGAGGAGGAAGGAGTGGCCTCACTTTTTCAGATTTCATGTGGTAATGGGTATGCTATTGGAGATTGCTCTCCAGGTGATAGGTACTGTGAGCCGATGGATGCCACTTGCTGTTTATTGGGGTAAAGTGGGCATGCACTTCTGGACAGCTGTGGCATTTGCATATCTTTTTACAGTCCTTGAGTGCATACGGTGTGCTCTTGCTGGTATGTATGCTGATGTCCCTTTTGCCTGCGATGCGGCATACATTCAAATCCCATATGATTAAGCCGGAAAGGTTGAGAACAAAAATTTGTGCTCTCTTTCCCTTTTGTGTTTTTTCTTTATTTTACCCCTTCTCTTGAATCAGAAGCTTTTCGGGAAGAAATAGATCTGTTTATCTGAGACAACCTTGTATAAATGTTATGATCGGATTACTTGGTTTTGTGCTAGTACAGGATTTGCAGGCAAAGGGCTGTTATCCTTTCTTGCTGTTAGTTGTGTGAATTTTTTTAGATTTTGAATGGTAATATCATCTTCCTCGCTCATCCTGCTCCTTCTACGTAAATCACTGCCTGTGGTTTAGCTCAGTGGTCATTAGTGACGAAGCTAGTAACTTGATATCGAGTAACTAGTTAAATACATGCGTTATACTGTGGTAAAAAAACCATTATATACGTAGGGTTAATAATTTGTATGGTGTGGTGCGAATAAAAATTTTATTTTTGGTAATTAATGTAAATAGAATATGTATATTGAGCGAAATCATTTGATTTATATATGTTTATTAATAAAATATTTAATAATATTAGCATAAAAATTAATATGCAAATAATTTGAAGGTTCTTTTAAAACATTATCTAACTTATTTTATTTAAAAAAAATAGAATATGAAAAAAATAAATAATAAGTAATTGGTATTATGTATGCGGATATATAGTTAATTTGTAATATATATATATATATATATATATATATATATATATATATATATATATATCATACTTAATGTATTCAAAGTATATAGAATAAATAAAAAAATATACAAAAGAAAAACCACCTAAATTGTATGAAATATAATGAAGTTAATAGATTAAAATAAAAACTATATAAAAAATTGATTATTATAAATTTTGAATAAATATATATAAAAAAGCACAATATATAGAGTAAATAGAAAAATATACGAAAAAAATCAACCTAAATTGTATAAAGTTTATTGAAGTTAATAAATTAAAACAAAAACTACAACAAAATTGGTTTAGCTAAATTCCGAATATATATATATATAAGCAAATAAAACTTGTGATTTTTTAATTGATTATCATTTAAAAAAAAAGAGTCAAACTATCTAAAACATATTTTTAGCTCTTTCTCTCTCTCTCTCCGTGTGTGTGTATATATATATATATATATAAAATCAGAATTTATAAATTATAATAATATATTTTTAAAAAAGAAAATATCGATGTTCTAAAATTTTATTCCAAAATTCATATGTTAAAAAATAATTTTTATTAACAAAAAAATTATATCAAAAAATTAATTTGATGAGAATTTTAATAAGAAACAAATAATTAAAGAAATAAATTTTAAACGAGTAAAAGTAATATAATGAAATATATATGTTCAAATTAAAATCTTAAAAAATATCATATATATTGTATCATTCTCAAACTATACGTAAAACTAAAAAAAAATAACAATTTCTTTTATATATTTTTCACATCTAATTTTATGATAATATATATATATATATATATATATGAAAAAAAAAAATGGCCAAGCGTGAGCTGCCAAAGAAAAGAGGGCCAGGTGTGTGTGTCTATATATATATATGAAAAACAAAATGAAAAAGATGGCCAGCCGTGAGCTGCCGAAGAAAAGAGGGCCAGGTGCAGCAGGCCCAAGCGCCAGCAGCCTCGGCCGTTCAACCCAGAGCCTCAAAAAAAAAAAAAAAAAAAGCTACAGTAAATGAATACTAAGAATCCGAGATCTTTTAGTTTTTTTAGTTATAGTTATAGTTATAGTTATACGTATTCCCTCGTATCCCTTTCTAACACTGTTTTTTGGCATTTTACTTCCATTTCATGTTTCTAGCAACATCCAGAGGATAGTCTTCTAGAGGAACTTCTGCTCGCAATTCCATGTCCCAGTCTTGTATATTTGGCTTATATGTGCTTAGTGAATGATTCAATCCCTCTACCCTTTTTATCCGTATTAAATTTATTCTTTGTTCCTACAATGTCAGAGTAGACCATTGGAATTTATATTTGTGCTTTTCAAAGATATCTTGTTTATCATGCCCTTCTGGCTAACGGTTCACACAGGGGTCTTTAACTTTTTTTCTTCTTGTGGATCCTGATAAGAGTAGAATCTTGGCCTCCTGGGCCTCTTGGCTAGGAAGATTTTCTTTCCCTCTTCTTCTTCTTCTTCTTCTTCTTTTATTATTATTATTATTATTTTTTTTTTTCTGAAAAGAGAAGAGCAGATTGACATGATTAAGGCCATCAACGGTGCTCAGTTTAGCGCTCATCCTTCATCCAAACTCACCCTTACGCGCCATGATGGTTTTTTTGTTGGTTGGGCCAACACACCCTTTCTGAATGATCTGATCTATAAGCACAGCTTTGGCATTGGCATGATTTCTTAAAGTTAGATAACTGCTGCTCCATGCCTCGTTGCTTTAACCCAACCATTGTGTGGCAACTCCATCATAGGTTGGCATGGAAGATATTAGTAACTCAGTTTGGTGACCCCCTACGTCAAATTGATGGAGGAATATAAGGCAATACTTGTGGCCGAATCATCTGTTGGTAGCAATAATTTAATAGATAAATTGATGGAAGAAAACCCAAACCCAAGTTTTGGGCCCTCTTGCTTTGCTTGAATGCCGACCAAGTCTGATATAATTTAATAGATAAAAATTTTCTCGAACCTGCGCTAACCCGTAAGTGTTATGATATTTTAAATATATGTTGTTGGTAGCAATAATTGTGGTTTTAAAATTAATATTTTGTCTTACCATTTGTCTCCCACGATAAATCGCATTTGTTCTTTAAGTCAACAAGAATTTTCTACACAAAAATCATGACAGTCATAGGCATAAAAGTATGTATGACGGAAGGAATTTGTTGTAGCCAAATGGGGTGAAACTTCTTTTAAACTTTGATTTATTTGAAAATTGAACTTCTAATTTCAGACTTGACCTTTTCAGATTTTTTTTTTTTGAAGATTTAGTTTTTTTTTTTTTAGTTTTCAATCAAATATATCTATTACATAAATAGCCCCGTAATGAAAATTATTTAGTAAGATTTATTTAGGATTACTAAAAAAAATTGAGATTATTTCGAGTTTTTTTTTTTAATTTTTTTACATTTTAAATGTTCAAAAATAAAAATATATATTTTTGGATTTTGAAAAATTCTAGGATTTTTTTGGAAATAGATTAAATTTTTCTAAATGTATATGCAAAATTACAATTTAAAATATCAAAAATTGAATTTTTGTAGAGAAGTGAGTAATAACTGAATGTAAAATCTAAAAAAAAAAAAAAATCAGATAAAATCAAACTCAAAATTAAAAGTTTAGAAATGATTTTCAAGTGAATTAAAATTCAAGAGAGATTTAGTCCATTTTATCTATTTGTTATTTCGTTTTAAAATGAAATCAAATTCAAGTCCTGCCAAGGACTTGGGCATTTTGCATGAATGAATCGTGCATAAGCCTCATATCATGCTCATTCTCAGGCGTCACATTTTGTAATAAGAGTGGATTAGACAAACACTACAAACAGGAAATGCAAGTGGGCAAACTTCATTGTCCAATAATACAAAGATTATGCCCAGCTTAAGTAATGTTCTTCGACAAGGGAGTCCAACTTACGGTGTTTTTGATTTGAGATGACGATTCACAACCTAATATGATTTGGATGGAATAGCATGATTTTTTCTTTGCACTCAATCATTTTGGTTATTTTATTACATTTATGTGTGCATGTCATTGTAGTCTCACCTCATTCTGGATGTTGCCTTTCGTGCTGCAGGCCATTTTATAAAAGCAAAAGAGGTGCTTGGCTGAGCCAGTCGTTCGTCTTTGGCATGGCCATCAGTGAAAAGAGCGACAGAATTGTGTTACGCATTACTCCGAATTTATTGGTTCGAAAATAAGGAGGGCATACTTCAAACAGGGTGTGCTAGTTTTGAACCCGTTACAAATTTTATACTGACATTTTTGCTCTTTTTTTTTTTTTTTTTAATCATGGTTAAGTGTTTGTTTGCTATTATTATGTTTTCAAACATATATTTTTTTAAAAAAATGTTTGGTTAAGGTTTGTTTTGCTTTAAATGTAAAATAAATGATATTTAAAAAAAATTTGTCAAGTCAAACCACGATAACTTGCATTGAACTAAAAATTTAGTTTATTATTTTACTTTAGAACTTTAATGGTTGGTTAATCGCACTACGTTACAAGTCAAATAATTTTATTTTTTCATGTTGACAATCTATACTATATTATTGATCAATTAAAATATATAAAATAAAAATGAAAAAATCATATAATTTTATAATTTTTAATAAAAATTATATTTAATTTATTTTTCTTTGTTTTTTCATAGATTTTGTAATTAAAAAAACATGATTCTTATTGTTTAAAATTAATCTCCTCAGTATATTATTTTTTTATGAAAACTCTCATCGAATTAATTTTTTATTCTTTTTTATATAATTTGATTTGTTAAAAAATATGATTTATTTTTCTCTATGTAGAGATTTTCGAATAAGTTTTTCCAAGAAATAATCAATTAAAAATTCATTATAAAGTATGAAAACATAACGTATATATTTCATAATCATCAAGCTGTATGGAAAATCGAACAAAATAACAATTGTTTCTCATAATTTTTGCTTCCAATTCAATAATAAAAAAATTAAAATAAATCATAAAAAAAAGTAAAAGCCAAAAAAGAAAAAAAAAGACAAGCATTTTTGCTTGGTCCATCCAAGGACCAAAATAAATAATAATTGGTTCTCCAAAATTTTTGCATACAATTCAATAATAATAATAATAATTAAAATAAATTACAAGGGAAAAAAAAGACCAAGCATGCAAGCTTGGTCCATTTGGGGATCAAAAATATCTTTTGATAACATGAGAGATCAAAATGAAACACCATGTTAAATTTACATATGAATGTCTCCAAGAAAAACTCAAAAATCTGAAAAATATCACTGTATATTGAAAATAATGATGCATATGAATCTTGATGAATAATACAAATGAGTGTATGTGAATAATGTTAAAAATAATGCTAATAAATAGTAAACTATCATTTTACTTTAGTTTCTTTGTAATTTTCTTAGAGTAAATTATAAACTAGTCCCTTTTTTTTTTTTTTTTGAGAAATGAATTAATTAGTCCTCTTAGTTTCAAACCTAATTACTTAACCTTTCTAACCAATATTGACCACTATTAATTTAATATTCTTTTATTTTATAAAATGTATCCTTTTCTAGTCGATCTTTCTATAATATTTACTTACTTTTTACTTTCCTAATTTTTAAAACAAAAAGCAAAATAAATTAAAAATATAAGAAAAAGGACTAAATGATTGGATTTTGAAACTAGGGCTACTAATTAATTCATTTCTCAAAACGAGAAGGACCAATTTAAAATTTACTCCATTTTCTCAAGGTAAAATAATAATAATAATAATAATAATCAATTACCAAACACTATTTTTACTAATGCTAATTTAAATTTACACCAATACTAAATAAAGCCCTAAGTCCAATAGGTAGAAGCAAAAACTAGTATCACTTCAGGTCATTTTGAATACATTTGTTTTACACTATTATTTTTATTCTGAATCTAATAGAAAATGTGAGGAAGAAATTTTTTGTGAATATAGTTCGAACAATGATGACCTGCCTAAGACTACTTAAAAAATTGCTCTTAGAACATTCAATCATTAAAAAAGAGATAATTGCCAGAATTTTTTTTAAAAAAATATTTTAAAAATCTATTAATTTATTTTTAAATCTCTGATATCTAAGAAAAATATTTTTCTCACTAAAACACCTAATAGTTAACCTCCAATAATTTTTCTAGTAATTATTTTTTATGAAGAATTTGAGGAATCGTTTTTTCCTTAAAAAAAGATGAATTTTTTTAGGTCTCAACTTGATCATAATAAAAAAAAAATCAGTATCAGACTTGTTAAAAATTATGAAATGAGATTATTATTAGATAAATATAAGAGAACATTCTAAAAACATTCTTCTAAGATTCTGTTAATTTTTTTTTTAAATCTCTCAAATTTAAAGTAATTTTTTTATCAAAACATCTAATAATTAACTTTTGCTAAATTGAGGGTTAACTGTTGAATATTTTGATAAAAAATTATTACTTTAAGTTTGAAAATTTTTTAAATAAATATTATTTCATGGCAATCGCCCCTTCAAAAAAACTCTATCATTCTCTTGCAAATGTCATCACCGCAACTTTTGGTCACAACAAAAAGCTACTTAAAACTACTGCCTCGCCACTAAAATACTAAACCAAGACAAGGAAAACGTCATCAATTACTCATAATCAGGCCAGGCTTTTGATTAGTGGGTGTCCACATACTTTAATCACCTCCTAGACAGATTATTAATTATTTTCTCAACCTTTCTTCTCCTATCATGCAATCAAAGGGCCAAACATAGAAAGGCGTGACAGATGAGTTCATCATCATCACCCACTGTTTCCTCTTATGATTTTTTTCCTCTAATACAAAATCATTTGTCTACCTAAGTTCACCCACTTCCGTAACCCATTTTTTAGAATTTCTCGAGTATTGCTTTTAGCTCCATTGAAGAATAATTTGTTCTTTTTACACGAGAAAAAGAAAATAAATCAAAGCACATCTTTGTCATTTAGACTTGATAAAATGCATTTTTTTATTTATATCCAATTTATTTTCTGCATCACTTAAGACAAAATAGAATAAAAAATCTAGGTGCTAGAACAAAACTTGTAGTGAGTAGCTGTGGGCCAAGTAACGTGAGGCTCTTAAGTTTTCATAATTTTTTTGCCTCAATGCACGTAGGCTACGAAAAAAATGACACAAAACTCCAAGCCCTATTGCTAAAAAGAGCTTGAATATTATATTTATATTTTATTTCTTTATTACAAGATAAAATTTAGATAAGTGCAACTATATCTCACAAGTCACAAGCAAGACTTCTGCCAACGCACTAAGCTGAACTTGAACGGTCAGCATTAAGCAAAGTACATTGCTAGGGTTGGTTTCAAATCAATTTTCTTTGTATTCTAATCTGTATTTTTATTGTATATTAGGACTTCTGTGGTTAGGACAAGCCGTGCTTTAAAAAGAATCTTAGTGTAATATGGATTGCTTGAACGTGCTGGCAGTGGCTTTGACAGCCCACAATGAGCTTTCACTTTCTCACACTACTTATGCATTTTTTTGTGGGTACATTTGGTATATAATTTCTTGTTTTCCTTTTTATTTATGATTTGGCATTGATTTGCTTAGCCCACTATTCCATACCTTCTACCTTTGCATGTGGCAGGAAATCTTGGGTTTGATTTTAGACTACATAATATAATAAATAAATAAATAAATAATAAAAAATGGTGTTATTACCGAAGATTTTCTCAAGTTTTCATGAATTCCTCTTCAATTTCATACAATTTAATTAGTTATTATTTTGATGTACTATGTGTTGCAGCAAAAAAACACTGCATCATTATTATATTGGTAGTTGGAACTTTGGAATTCAAACATGCAATTATATGTCAAAACCTTAATCGAAATACATTGAATCAACTTAAAATAATTGACGACAAATCTGTTAACCAAAAAGGGGAGGAGATTCGTAGGCAACTTGTTCTTTTTTATTTTTTCTCCTTGCAATTTTGTCTGTCTTCGATAGTATATTTTAACTTATCAGAATCTGGACAACCTTTTAGTGGTGCTGAAATGGTTATGGGGTGTTTGGTTTTGGAGACATAATTTTGCCGATATCCTATTTAAAATTGTTGGAAATCAATTCCATATTGGAAGTACTCGTATTGGAATTCGATCCCATGCCCCCTTTCTTATTCTAATTGACCATCTATAATATTCGTATCAATTTTTCGGTCATATATGTACTTGTTTACTCTTGAGAGGATTTTGCATGAATTTCATTTGGGAAAGATGATTGTTTTCTATTCTTTCAACGAGGAAAGTAAATTGAAAAAAATAAAAGAAAATTACAAAAAAAGAGAGAAGAGAGAGACCGTTTGATGGAGAGTTGACGCATACCAAAAGAAAATATTGAAAATCTTTTCCACTGAATCAAGTGGTTGTTGAAGCATTGATTTACCGTATCCAGTTTGACCTGCTAACCCATTTTGCTTTTGCTTCTGGTTTTTCAAGGCACGTAAGGGGAAGCGAAGCAAACTTGATTTTTTTGTCCATAAAAACGTGCGTGACTTGCTAGAGTTGCGTGCAAAATACGGGGACCTTCTCATTGTACCATTTGCGTATGTCTCTTTGCATATGTTTTTATTCACAAATGGACAAGCAAACCAACGGAAAATTAAAATAGTGCTAATCGTTGTTCTTGACAAGAACAAAAGAGGATGAAGTCCACACACCAATTTGAGAAATAATATCATTAATTTACCATTCAGCACATGATACACACATTCAGGGCCTTCCACACGATATTTATAGTGACCCATTACAAGCCAAAATACCAATCGATTTCCCCTCTACTAGGTACATTTTTATTTTCAATGCACCACTTTCTCATTAATCATAACATTAATACAATATTCTAGGACCTAGTTAAACTAATGTTCAACATTAAAAAAAAAAAAAAATGGCCCTCCTTTTTCTTTTTTCTCTCCACTCATTGAGACCATGAACAAACAGCAAGCCATAGATTGACCAATTTCCAACCCGTGGAGATGATGATGACAATCAATACTGAAACAAATCTGGAGATGCCATGATGGGTTGGTTGAGATAGATCAAACTTAATGGATTCATGAAGCTATGATCAGCACTTGTCTGGAGGTTCTCATGATGATCATTTTCAAAAATCCCATTACTTGTGTTGATATAATTGAGGATCTCATTAAGAGAATCAAGTCTATGGTTCAATTCCATCGTTTGTGCCCTTAGAATAGAATTCTCGGCCTCAACATTCAAGTAGTGCTGTGTAGTGACATTGATGGATGTGAGGATTTGATTACTCTCCTTCCTTAGCTGTGTCACTTGAGCCATTAAATCATCCAAGTGCTTCTGTTTTCTCATCCTGGATCTCCTTGCAGATTCTCTGTTTGACAGCATTCTCTTCCTTTTCCTTTGATCCACCAACATCAACTGCATATCCTCCTCAGAGCCTGAGTTTTGAATCTGAGTGGAAGCTGAGGAATTCCCACTAGAGGATGCCATGCAGACACAAAAAGATTGTATTTATACCAAAATTTCTACCACCAGTAATAAATCTCAATAAAAATGAGATCTTTAATATTGTTCTAACCTCGTAGATTTTTCAAAGACACAGGACTAATAATAATATCTAGAAAGTCAAGATAATGAAATTATAAATAGTCTAACTTATTATTACATAATATAATCCAGGCAGAGTTGAAAGATTAATTCTGAAAAAACATAGAACCAGTAAAGGAAAACAACTGAGAAAGATTGAACAAGGTGGGTTCGGCGTCTGAGAGAGGAATCGATCATAAACCCGGACCGGAGGATTTCACTGACTACTGGAGACATGAATCTCAGAGATGAAGATCCAAGCCTGCCATCAAGATTTTTTTGGCGAAACAAGATTTAGTTTTGGCAGAGTAACAGCCCTAATAAACAAGGAAAAAGAATCTTGGAGTTTCAAGATTTTGACTTTATGGAGTTTTTTGTTTTGTAACTCCAAAACCCAGAAATCAAAACAAAAAAGAAAAAGACAAACCCACGAGAGGGAAGCAAGAAAACAGAGCAAAAATAGCTAAATAGCTTGCTGATGCAGAACCAGTAGAACTTCAGCCCTAAGAAAGCTAGAGAGCAAGAAAACCTGAAATCTAAAGAGGGGGAAGAGAAGAGAAGAGAAGAGAAGAGGTTTTTGACGGTGTTGGGAGGTCAATTTATAGAAGTAAAGGACGAGGAAGAAAATAAGGGGAAAAAAATGAACAATAATGTAAAAAAAAAAAAATAGAGAAAAAGTAAATATTAGCATAGGAATCTCCAATCAGAGAGAGTTGTTGGGGGGAGGTTGATTAAAAATGTAGGGTGGAGACGAAACTTCCACAACCGGCCAATTCCAGCTGGTGAGCAGGACTGACACCATTTATTATTTAATTTATTACCTGTATATATTTTTGTTGTCTTTCGGCCTTTTTCACTGAAATTTTACCTCACTTTCACCGCTGTACCTGAATTAACCGCCCAAGTACTGTTTCTTTCCAAGAAGTGGACAGTGGCGCCTGGATCATGCAGCGACGGCATCTTGGGGATGGAGGTGGGGTTCATAATTTTTCCAGGGGTGAATTGGACATTTCCTTTAAAAGAGATAGTAACTGAATTGTTTTTACTGTGTATTGGACCCCATAGGCTTGCTACTACTAGGTGAGTTATTTTTTTGTTTAGTGTTTTTTTTCCCTTCCAAATCGTGAGTTATTTTAGGGAAATTTGTGCTTGTAAATTATAAATTGGTCCCTCTATTTTTTAGAAAATAATTAATTAGTTTTTTAAAATTATTTATTTAATTCCTTGACAAATGTTGATCATACTTGATTTAATATTATTTTTTAATAAAATATCATTTTTTATTAATTTTTCTATATTATTTACTTTTTTTCCTTTTTATTTTTAAAAAATAAAAATAAACTGAAAATGAAAAACAAAAGATTTATAAAAAAATTTAAAAGTGTAATAATTAAATAATTATTTTTTGAAACAACAGAGGTTAATAATTTACTTCTTGAAACTAGAGGGACTAATTTATAATTTACTCCGTTTTGTGCACTGACCGAGTTTATTTCTTAGGGTTGCTGAGTAGGTAAGGTGGATGAGTTTGTATGAATATGATAGAAAAACTAAATGTGTTCTCAACCGTGCATTCTTTTTAACGGTTGACATTTTATGATATCTCATTGAATATCTTCATTTATTTCATGAATATTTTCAACCCTTCTAAATTATTTTATATAATCTTTTTCTCCTCGTAATATATATCTCTCTATCATTGATTTGTCATTTTCCCAAAGTTATTTCAATTTCTTATCTTTTATTATCTTTCGACGCCTAAAAATCTTTTGAATAATATGCATCACATTAGCTTCTTTTTGAAAGCAAACTTTTAGTTTTACATGTGGGCTTTCCTTTGATCCAATGACGTTCTCTAATGCTGTTGCTGACACAAAAAATAATGAACATAATTTAATAATAAAAATCACACAATAAATAATAAATTTATTATAAATTAACATGAATAAAAAATGAGAATTTTTTATCTAGATCATTAGAAAAATTAGAGATAAAACTAACGTTATCATGTTTTATGATATAATGATGACTGAACCATCAGAATATTTTTATCAAAATTTTTAAATGACTATTTCGATGTACAACCAAATTGTTTTTTTGAGATGATATGCTTTGTTTGTAGAATTTATCCGATACAACAGATTAAGCGCATATTATATGTCATCTCAAAAATATATCAAGATTAATTACCTTTCAGTATCTTAGCAAATTTATATTATTTATAAGATTTGAAATTCTAAATAAAACAACACTACTCCAATCTAAAAAAAGTTAATAAACATTACAAGTGGAAGACAAAAGAAGACAACAATAAAAGAAATATTTTTCTTTCCAAGCAAAGCAAGAAAAAATACTGCTATTTTTCTCGATGAAAGAACAAGAGTATAAGAATTGTTGTTGCGTCTAAAATTACAAGAAAAATGTCATATTCATAGAACATAAAAGAGAGCCGTTTCAAAGAATGCCGTTTCTTTAACATCAAATTGGACAAAGCGACACTGTACTCTTTTTATGACTCTTCTAAAAGTCATATTCTCCCTTTAAGGCACTCTGTAAACAGTAGCTTGTAAGTTTTTTATATATATATATATAGTTTTAAATATTTTATTAAAAAATATTCCAACAAATATTTCAATCTATATCTTCATTTAGTCTATTTCCATTTCAATTCCACCCAGTTGTTATCCATAAATTTTCTCCCTCCATGATGTCTATCTTCTTATTTAATTTATCATACTGTCTAAATTATTTCAATCGTTATTTTATCATCTTTCTACTCCTCTTAAAAATCTTTTTAATAATATGCAGATCACGTTGGCTCCTTTTTTTATTGTTATTATTATTATTATCTATATATATTAGGCTAGGATAATAATAAAAAGAGTAAGATATACTGAGGTTTTTTTTAGTACTATTGGCAAAGAACAAACAGTTTTTGAACAAAATTGAGGTTAAACAAATAGTCCTTCTATTAAAAGGGATTATGTTTTCATCCAATTTAAGTTGAATAATTTTTTTTAAACGACCTAATTTATGTTGAATAATTATTTGTTTTTAAATTGTTTGGCTTTGACCAATACTAGAAGGGATAAAACCTGATGTCACTTGACAGGAGGATTAATTTTTAACCTTAATTTTATCCATAAAATATTTGAGTTAAATAATTTATTCGGATAATTTTGGTGCTTTAACCAATAACACAGGAGCCTCAAGCATATTTTATCCTAACAACAAAGATAGAATAGTTGAAAATAAAAATGTAATAAACGAAGATAAAAATCAGGAGGAATTGAAATGGAAATAGAATAAATGAAGATATAGGGTGAACCGGTGAAGTGTTAGGGAATATCATTACATCAAAGGGAAATCCATATGTAAAACTAAAAGTTCTTTTTATTTTTAAAATGAAGTTAATTAATGTGATGAATGTTATTCAGAATATTTTTACGCGTAGAGAGAGAACAAAGATAAAAAATTGAAATAATTTTGACAAAATGACAAATCAATGATAGAGAAATACATTACGTAGATAATAATCAAGAAGAATTGAAAATGAAAATGCAATAAATGAAGATAAAAAAGTGAGATATTAAGAAGTGCTGGGCATTAGATTGAAAGAGAATCAATGATTGATCAAATGTGTAATTTTTTAGTTTTGCACGTGAAACTGGATCTCTCCTCTAAATTTAATCATACTAAAGTACTCATTGTTTTACTTTATGTAAATTAATTATTAAAAAAAATATTTGCAGAGATACTCAGTAATTTTTTTTTTCCGTTTAGAATCACCAATAGTTAGAGATGGAACTCTAATTTAGAGATTTATATTTAAACTCATCGGGAATATAACGGCAATTGCGATTTATGAACTTGATTAATATACTGGTTCTAACCTCAATAGATCTCCCAAAATGTTAAAGAAAAAAAATATCTTTATGAGATATTTTCAAAGCAAAACTTGATCTGCCATGTTTCGAAAACATAGTTTTATTTTTTGAATAAATAGTATTTTATTGTTAAACGGTTAAGATCTTTTTTAAATTTGAACTCATTCAAGAATTAGTCTCTCAATTTTTAATTGGATTTTTTATAATTATTTTTCATTTAAAATTAAATATTTTTGTTAGGTTTTCTTCAATTTCAATAATATAAATATATATGACTTGTGCATCGTTAATTTTTTAATTAGTTAAAAATATATCAATACTTATAAATGTTTTATTTTTTTCTTTTTAAAACTTATATTTTTATTTTTAAAATATTTTTTAATTGCAATCTTGTTAGTGTTGAAGAGGAAATAAGCAAGTTTTGAAGAAGAAAAAAATATTTATAAGATTTTACATGTTTTTAGTGGTTGAAAAACTGCTATTGCATATTAGAATTGACACAAAATTAATTAAAAAATCTAATTTAAACAAAAAGAAATTAGAAACAAGTAAAATCTGAAAAAGAAAATTTAAAAAATGAGTTTTTCAATAATTCAAAATTAAAAAGAGTTTTGTACGGTTTAATCGTTTTTTTAATTTTTGCAAGTTGACGGTGGTGTGCCTGCGCCTAGTTGCTGAGGCCTGAGAGAGTCCCTGTTTCCCTGAGCCTAAGCTATCCACAGTATACTTTTTAACCCCACTTAGGATGGTGACGCAGCTTAAGAAATCAATTTCCAATGGGGAACACAGTAGGCACCAGCCATGTTTATCCTCTCCTCTTTTTAGCTACTAGCAGTTTTTAACAGAATTCAACAGGCCTCTTGCTCTGGACTCCTAAAATGCATAGGTGACGCTTCATAGTGCGACGCCTACTGGCTCCCTATCAGCACCTTCGTAAAATGGAAGGGTTAATTGTATATTTGATCCCTCTACTCTCAATTTTTTCAATGCCATCCTTCACCCCTTTTTTTTGTTATTAAACCCATTCTTATAATAGCTCGTTGAGAATGTAATACCCCATCATTAGTATTTTTTTGTTATAAACATATTTTTTGTTTATTTTTCTTAGGACACTGGCATTAAATTATTAGAAGAATAAAAGTGTTATGAAGTGCCATATTCTTAACGGACTACCAATTAAAAGATTGGTTTAATGAATGAAAAAAAAACCCACATTAAATAAGGGATTAAATATGCTATAGCTCTTATAATATGGTCAAAACCTAAACATTCATCGACTAATTATTTATCATAAATTGTTATTAAACGAAATTGGAGTAAAATCATATATTAAGTAGGGTTAAACTTTCATCGAAATACTTTAAGAATAAAATATGTCAAATCTCCCTTATTATTAATTAAAACAACAAACAGTTTTTATACAAAATTAAGAGCAAAATTGGATAGAAATTATCCTTGAATTTGTCTACAAATTATTTGTTTTGAATAATTTGTTGCAGGACTGTTTGTGTTTTCATCAATAATAGAGAGGACCTGCCACATTTACCATTAGATAGCTTTAAGAGTGGACTGACCAAACAATTAATCAAAGATACTCCACCTTTTTAGTTGGCAAATAGGATTTCAAACATTAAACAAGCGGCGAGAGTGGGCGACGCAAGATTTTAGTGGGTCGGTCATGAGACCCATAGTTTACGACCGGGTCCATCGTCGAAGTGGCTCCTTAATTGTCTTTATGGATTACCTTTGCCCTTTGGTTCCTCCTTTACTAGAAACATACTTAGCTTCTCAAGCAATCATTACTTTTTCCCAACTTATAATCAAAATAAATTAAAATTATTAAGATTCAAACCTGTTTTATAAATAAAACTATCAAATACATAACCATCAAGTTCTGTCTATTTGTATACATACGTGATTCTTATACTTTAAAGACTAAAATTATAATATATGATAATAAAATATAAACTTATTATTTTTATGAACCTTAAAACTTTACGTTTCTTGCATAATTTTTTAAAAAGTAACATATCTTGATTTATTCATAACTTCGAAGAATAATGAGAAGGCAAA